TCTAGTAAAATAATGAAACTGAGAATTGAAGGGTTTTTCATAAAAACCAAATAAATCCATTTTTTTAATTCTATGGCATCAAATCGTACTCTATCAGTAGCGTTATATCGTGAACAATTTTGTGAACAAAAAGTGAAAAAATTATTGCTTTATATTTTAAATATATTTCTTTCTTCAACTTTATCATTAATGTTATAAAAAAGATAAATATAAACTTGGAGGATAAATACATAAAAACGAAAAAGAACAGCTTTGCTCAAGTACCTAAAAATTTAGCTAGATATAAGTCTGAAAATAATTTTATCGGACTATCAAATTATTATGTAGGATATTAAAGCATAATAAGCAATGTAAAAAAAGTTTTGACATTATAGCAACCAGCTTGAATGTCCTACATCAGTACTGGAATTTATTTACAACTTTCAGCCGATTTTCAGTTTGGTTCCCGCCCCTTACCTCATCAACCCGCGCGGTCTAAAATCGGCTGAAAGTTGCAACTAAATTTCAGCACGATCCTACATAATTATTTAGTCCAATAAAATTATTGTCAGATCTGTATCTAACTAAAATTTTAATATATCCGAATTATTTTTTTATAAGTCACCACTGCTCTTAATATATCATTAATTTAAGTAAAACAATAAAGTTAAACAATTTTATTCAAGGAAATACATTAAATTTGATTCAAATTCGGTTTATTATTTACTAAGTGCATACATTAATATAAAAGTTGTTTACTTTCAAACTAACCACAGAAATGGATCATTGAGTTACACACGTGGATGTGAAAAATAAGAAAATGTTATTTAACTCAAGAGATTGGGTTGCCATTGCAGCTCCTATGATATCTAACAGTGTAGATCGAAAATATTTGTCAATGAATGAATTTGAAAAAGTATTTTTGATAACACCGGATTTACCTGAAAAAAATATCGTCCCGCGAAACACATATTTGTGTAATACTCCGCATCTGCATTGTTTATTTCCCTTAATTTTCTAAGAGAAAAAAATTATTTCCGCAACAACGACAATTCGCTTAGAAATAAATTCCGGAATAAATTCGGCTGTTATACACCGGTGCCGCTATCGTCTTTATCGAGGTACAATCGCAAAGAGGACTATACCGTCATACCTCGAGCGTGAATCAACCTTCATGCTCACACACCTCGAGCCACCCCTGTGTTGTGTTTTATCGTGTGGCAATCACACGCGAGCACAACCCTACCGCGTTCTGTATCCAAGCCCCACGACAAGTGCGCCAAAGTAATCGAGTCAAACCAGTGTGCCTCTGGTATATACTCGATATGTATGTACGTATGTATGTACATATATCGGCCTACGACACGCGATCGTAAGCATTGAACTTCTCGCACGAAACGTCGATGTTTCTTCTGTTAACGTCGGAATATATTTCTTCGTTGTACTTTTGCAACGATGCATCCCAAATTCACTTTCCAAACAGATAAAAACGCAAACTTCCCGCAGTTGCAGTCATTATACATTACCAACGCGAAAAATTTATTCCCATCACGTCTCGCGTCTCTTCCTCCGCGTTCGTTCATTTCTTATATTTTAACTTTTTTAATCTAACCATGTAAAATTAAAAATTGACGTTTAATTCTAATTTAGATTCATCGCTTTTAAATTCTTTTAAGATTCGCAGATACATGATATAAAAGCGTTTTCTCTTCATTACTTTCTTTCATTCTTTATAAGCAATTGAATTTATTATATGTCCAATACGTACCTTGTTTCCTACGCGTAATTTCTATTTATAATTTCTTTTTGATTACATAGAAATTTGTTTTGAGCAAATCAAAGCAAAATCAATTGATATTGAAATTCTTTTCCTAAAATTATTGATTTATTTTCAATTTTCAAATTTTCTATTTAACTTTGAGGGCTGGTTGTTTCATCTTTTGGTAAATTTTACCTGTTAGGTAAATCTGCGTATGTAATTGGATAATCTTGCTACTTACTCAACAGGCAAAATTTACCAAAAGATGGAACGACCGGCCCTTACTAGGTTTGCTTTAATAATGCAATGGTAGCAATAAAACACATTAGTCGATAGTGTCGATACATTTTGTAATACTACAAATGGTGGTTCAATATACATGTCATGAAAGTTTGAAGTTTGCGACGTTATAGTCTCGTGAGCGTTGCAATCCTTGACGGTGTGTCGAGTTGAGAAATAAAGAAAAAAGGGTATAAGCAAGATATCGAGAAAGACAGTCGCGTGTAAGACTTTATGACAATGGCAGAAAGTAAAGCCGCAAAATAAGCAAAATTGTTTTCTTAACTATGCGACGAGACTATTGATGAATATGAAAAGAAACTCGCAACGCACGAAACTTCCGCAATGTAAATCATCAACGTCACACGTCAATCCGCGTAAAATATTATTTTTTAAATTAGAAAATATTATTTTTTAAATATTATTTTTTAAATTAAAAAATAAGAATGGAAAATGTATTATATTATAAAGTTCTGTGGAATTGATAAACTTTAAATTGACGGAAATAATTATACACGAAAATTCGTAGTCAGTAACGATCGATTACTTTCTTTGAATTTATATAATAATTTTATACATTACCTCAATTCTAATATACTGTATTAATTTTAGTTGAGATAAATTTAATAAAATAATTCAATTAATGATTCATAGCTAAAATTTAATAAAATTTCATTATAAACACACCTATTCGCAATAATAACAAATTATTAAGAATAAAACAGTTTCTTGAATGAATTTATCTTATAAGTGTAGAAATTAACTCTTTAATTTGTTGTAAAAATAAATATATACATATAAATAGAATAAAATAAAATTTAGTTATTTTTTACTTGTAATTTATTAA